CAACAGTTCGTATTAAGGAAACTTCAAGTTATTTGTTCACTTCTGGTCTTGAGTCTTCTACTTGCTTTCGGAGACTGTATAAGTATATATTCTAGTGCACTATTTTTTTAGTATATACTTATGTATAAAGGTTAATAAGTGTGTCTATACCTTGAAAATGACCTTATGATATCATATACCATAAGGTTATTTTCAAGGCAAAGACCCCAAGTATATTTATATATCTTGCTATATACGTATATACATACTCTAATTGAATATTATATATAAGTATACTTATTAACCTTTTACTGTATATTAGTATTATGATTATATAGACCTTTAATATAAAGTCAAATCTAGTAATATGTATACTGTAATACTAAAAATTTAACATAAACTAGAAGATATGATATATTAATTCAAGCAATTAAATTTTTAATCATGCTAACCTATATATCACATTAGTAAAGTGCTACCATTTGAATATTCTTAAAGAAGCCTCTAACCTCTAATATTTAATCCTTTTAATCTCTATTTTGCTACTATTATATAAGAATTATAATTAATACTAATACATTATTACATCTATTATTATACTACTTAATTTGGGCATTATGAAGCATAATGGCCAGTTTTCCTACATTATTGGCAATGCCTTCCTCTCTTTTTATTTCTAATCGACTTTTTCAATAATTCACCACCAGATTTATATCTTTTAGATTGTCAACCTTTGTGTTGTACCCGTAACAGATCTTCAACAATAACATCAATATTTGTTGAGTTGACATTTTCATCTTGAACAAACATATTCCTTTAGTTTTTTCAATAAAACATTCTATCTTATTAACAAAATCATCAACTTTATTAGCATGAATAGCCAAGTCAAGTACCTTTTTGGCATATCCTATACCAAATCTGTATTTTTGTTTAGGGCCATGTGACTATACAATATTAGGATTTGCTTAAACTTTGCAAGATGCTGAAATGATAACGGTTGAGGCAACTCATTTGACTCAATTTTTTTAATTTAATACATTGACACAAATGTCTCATCTTTATTAATTTTACTATTGTTGTACCAGCGTTTAAGAATAAGTGTAATATGAAATTATGTATTAATGGAATAAGACATGACTTAAAAGAAATATCTATACACAAGACCATGATTGGCAAGCCAAAAGTATGTATACAAGTGTTATTAAGTATGATAATATATTGCGGATCTGCTTGCTGTCTTCTATGTCTAGTAATTTTCTAAACTTCTTGAACACAATTCTAAGGTATACCTTTGAGCAAAGAAGAAAATAAAGACTGAGGCTGATCGTAATCGTCTTCTCTGGCAATTTCTTCTTGGTAAGAGTCATCAGTTGTCTAAAGCGAAAAGAAAAAAATTAAGTCAAATGAGTTGCTTCAACCGTTATTATTTCAGCACCTTGCAAAGTTTAAGCAAATCCTAACATTGTACAGTCACATAGCCCTAAACAAAAATACGGTTTGATATAAGATATACCAAAAAGGCACTTGACTTGACTATTTGTGCTAATAAAGTTAATGATTTTGTTAATGAGATAAAATGTTTTATTGAAAAAACTAAAAGAGATATGTCTGTTCAAGATAAAAATATCAACCTGACAAATATTGATATTAGCATTAAAAATCCATTACGGGTACAACACAAAGGTCGACAATCTAAAAGATATAAATCTGGTGGTGAATTACTGAAAAAGGTGACTAAAAATAAGAAGGGAGGAAGGTATTGCCAAAAGTGTGAGAAAACTGGCCATTATACTCTACGATGTCCAAATTAAGTGGTGTAATAATAGATGTAACAATGTATCAGTGTTAATTATAATTCTTATATGATAATAGAGGTCAAAAGGATTAAATATTAGAGGTTAGAGGATTCTTTAAGAACATTTAAACGCTGGCACTTTACTAATGTGATATATAGGTTAGCATGGTTAAAAATTTGATTGCTTGAATTAGTATATCATATCTTCTAGTTTATATTAAATTTCTAGTATTATAGTATACATATTACTGGTTTTGACTTTATATTGAAGGTCTGTATAATCATAATACTAATATACAATAAAAGGTTAATAAGTATACTTATATATCATATTCAATTAGAGTATGTATGTACGTACATAGTAAGATATATAAATATACTTATTAACCTTTATATGTAAATGCATGCTAAAAAAATAGTGCACTAGAATATATGCATATATAGAACACCTTATTTTATTATACATAGCAATTGTATAAAAATTCTGCGGTCTCAAATGGCCAGAATGCATTGTGGTTAGGGTAGGATTAGCTATACTAGTTAGTGGAAATTATATCAGTAGTAAAAATTATCATTATCATCTTGAGCAAAATTAATCATTCCAGCTCATTCAATCAGAAATTCATGATCAATTAATTATATAATACAGCAGCTATAAATTATTAGCAAACTTTAAAATGACCACTCTAGCAAATTTGTTTGTAACAACCACCTAAATATACTATTATATAACGATAAAGCTATCATGTAATGCTATTTACCTAGTATTTTAAAAGCTCTCTGTATATATTCTCTTTTTTTTTAGTGACCCTTATATATAGAGATTACGATGATTATTTATATAAAGATCATATATAGGAACTTTTGAGACATCTATAGTATGTACAGTACAACAAATAATATAAATAGTATAGTTTATATAAATACTGTATATATATATATTTATATAATATTACTGTATATATATATTATATAGATGATTTCACCCAGAGGCAAGTTAGCAATAGTCTAAAAATATTTACTATGATTTTAAGAGATAATTTATACATCACATATTCAACATTATCGTTCCATAAAATCAGATATAATATAAATCAAAATAACAAAAATAAACTGAATTATTTCATATAGTTAGGATTAGGATTAGATTGAGTTAGAGTATGGACAAAGATAAGGCTTTATAATAAAATTTTGCAAGGAATTTTTTTTGTTAAAGCACAAAAGATGGTTTCATATACAAAATTTTGAATTATAGGTGATTTTTGCAAAACGAACATTTGTTTTAAATTTTTTGATCATGTAATGTTACATTTAATCTTGAAATTTGATTAGAAAAGTGACATATAAAGTGCATTGCATGATGCGATAAATAAATTTACTTTAATTTTAAAACAATTTTATATAAATTCTTATTAAAAAATATTAATTAATTGAATTAATAAAAATTATTCAATCAACTCTTCCCAACAATTCTCTGGTCAACAACAACAAAAACCGAATTACAGCAAAATATATAGAAAAGCAACAAAGTAGATACTAAAACTTGGTTCTATAAATAGGAGCAGCTTGTCATCAATGAAGTCTAAGCTGTCTAGGTGTAAAATACCAAGAAGCGGGCGCCAAAAAAACAAACAGTTTTCTTTAGGGTCAAGTTTTCTTTCTAACGGACTCCCCAAAGTATTTGGCATCCAAACCAGAAGGTTTATTCTGGAAACAAGTCTGTAAAAGTAGCTAAAAATGCACTTCTAAGTGATAGAAATGGAGAAGCTAGACTATACAACTGTAAAACTTACAAGAAGAACCTCACATATTCTCATTGGCCTACCACTTTTTTTCGAAGAAATTTTTGTAAAAAGTGGGTGCTTTACCTTACTCCTCCAAATGATCGATATTACGTATACCAAACAAGTCAGCATTGTTTAT